ATCGGCTACCGGCGCAAACGAGGCACCTACCGGCAGCTGTCATACGCCCAGGCGCTAAAGAGGGTCGGCTGCCAGAGCGTGGAGGCCACTGTCCGTCAACGGTGCCTGCTCTATGCGGGGGCCGTGGCAAGACAGCCAGCCGGGCGGCTTCCGAAACGGCTGATGTTCGGCGAGTTGGTGGGAGGGGAGGACCCGGGCCAGGGAAACCCGGAGCAGAACTGGCTGACATGCCTGAAGGACGACATGAAGATGTTCGAAGCCAGGTACGGCTCCACGACCGACAAGCCGAGCGTCTTCGGAGTCCCGAAGTTAGTCTGGAGTGAGGCGGCGAAGGTGGAGGGGGGGGTACCGTGGCACGCGGGGGTGCTACAGGGAGCTGAGAGGTTCATGGCCTCTTGGCACAAGGGCAAGGAGGAGGCCAGCCGACAACGAGCCATCAAACGAGGAGACAGCGGGCCCAAAAATAGTCTAGATACGGCACCAATCAACGGGGCGGTAGGGGGGCGGAAGGAAACGGCGCGGCGGGAAGAAAGCAAGCGAGAAGAGACCGACCGCGTGACGTGACATGTTGCGGTCGAATTTCAACGACTAATTTTTCTGTTGCCCTCTCCCCCGTTTGCTGTCGCGTTCAGACTGTCTCTAGGGATATCCCTGTCTCTGTGCGAGTTTGTTTATGTCCTCGTCTGTCTTTGGTTTATTTCGTTTTATTTTGTTTGGTTTTTTTACTGGCACGTACTGCTGCCCCTTGGGATCCTTCCGGAAGGCTTACCCCCAGGCTGGTGGTGCGCACGTTCCACTATTTATTTATTTATTTGTTTCTGATTCTTTTGTTTTCTTGTATGTTATCGCTCTGCTAACCCTTGGGGTCCATTTTATTTTGGTATACCTTTTCTAGGTACGTTAGCCTGTGACCACGGAAATTGACCGAGTCAAGTGCTGGATTAGTACGGAGAGATTGAGACAGAAGGAGGTACTGGATAGAGAGACCGGGATGGTTTTTAATGTGAAGACAACAACAACAACAACAACAACAACAACAACAACAACAATAGTATGGACCACATCTATCTATCATTACTCCATCTGAAGACTCCGTGTTTTTTCAACACGCGTTGTACGATGATCAGGCCGAGTTGATGATGTTGTACCAGGTACGTTAACTCCGATACATGCGTCTCCATGAGCCACTCATATCTCTGGCCGCCAAAAGCACATCTTTAGCACGGATGGACTTGTGGCGCATAGAGGGGGGGGTGATGTGGAGGACACCTGTCGGGAGTATAACCAACCATGTGTACACATACAAAGTGCAGGAAGATATAGCTCCATCGGGATATCTTGTCACTGGGAGAGTGACAAGAGACGCACCGTCGGGGATTTGTCTCTTCCGAAGTCCCTGGCCACTTACCGAGAGAAAAAGCGGAGAGTCTTCGACTCTCCTCGCCTTCTGCTTTCTCTGGCCACTCTCTCTTCCTCGACCTCTCTCCTCGTTGCATCTCACGAAAGGAAATAGCCACCCTTGGCAGTGGGAGAATACTGCTTGAGCACCGGCCTCTGTCTCTGACAGGGACCAGTCAGTGTCCTCAGTCGGAAAGAAATATTTTCGAGACCACCCCACCCACCCTGCAGCTAATGTTGTATTGAGGCTCAAAGCCTCAGGATCATTTACAGATTCATTGCCGCGCAGACTGCAGTCGGCGCGGCAGTGCATCCGTGGGACCGCCGGCCTCAGAGCTGGAGGCCTCATCCAGAATCCAATACTTTGATTAAATGATCCTAGGCCACGAGCAATAATACAACAGTAAAGGGTGAAACAAGTAATCGTCCAGAGCGAAACACTTTGTTTACCGGCGACTAGGTTTTTTGGGACTTGGTGTAGATTGGGTGTGACTCCAAACGAACTCACCATCTGGCCATTAATGCCAACACCCTCAAAGCTCTTCACGAGCCCGGCGACGAGTCGGCCCATGAAGCGCTTTCCCTTCGGGATGTCTAGAGCTTCCCCGGGATGAAGGTGTGTCGGTCTAGTTGGTTGTACCTCGAACCTGAAGAGAGCGCACAAAGGTAACAGAGGCAGCAGGTACACGACGCAAGTGTAAATCAAACCCAGCGCGGTTGGAGTACTAGTGTTCTGGTGACATGGGTTGTGTAGCCCGATCGCAGCGACGATAATTCAAACGTTGCAGGGGAAGGGCTACAAGATGCGAAATGCAAAGGTGTGGGCTTGGTTTTCCGACACTTGTCTGTGCTCGAGAGCAAAAGGGAGAAGCTTCACGCACCAAACGTATATCCGTGGTAAACGGTTGCGTTGGCTCTAAAAACAGCAGCATCATCACCCACCGGGTATCAGGACGAAGCCCTTCCCCGGGCCGTGCACACGGCCCGCCCGAGTAATCGGGTGATGACCCTCCAGTCTGTTCGAATTGCGGACGATCATGCGGTTGGAAGGAGGCCAACGACAATCATATAACCCAAGTTCGGGGCTTAAAGCTTGAGCGCGGGGGGGGGGAGCGCCACGATCAGGAAGATATTTTTTGTGTTTCGTCAAGTACTCCCGTGTCGGTTGACCGACCGGCGAAGGCCAACACGGAGACATTGTAGCTGGAAAGAAGCACGGCAAAAGTTACGAGGGTTTCGAACGTAGTTCCGACATGAAGTTGACAATCGCGCGACATGCTATGATAGCCGGGTTTTTTTCGACGGGTTAGTTGTGAAGATGCAGGTCGTGTCACGTGTCTTTACAACCATCGTGGCAACACGGCCAGTAGTGATCGCCGCGTTGTTTTCGCGTTGAAAATGGCGCCGCCCGGTTACCGAGGGCTGCCCTGGTTCCATTTTTATTCGCTTTGTCTCTCTTTTTTTTGTTTGCGGCCTACGCCACTTATTTATCGGGTGAGACTGTTTTGGTGATGTATTAACTTCACGGGAGGTAGACGATCGTCCTTCACACGGACGAAAGAGGGAGTGCTCAAAGTACGGCTCCCACAGCAAGGAGGGGCCCCGTGAATCATCGCGGTGCCCCCTATCAAACGGTTATTTTACCAGTCTGCGTGACACAAAATCATCCAGCACATGTATCCAACAGCAATGTTCGCAGACTCACGAACACCCTCCCTGGTTCTTCACGCAAGTGACTAACCATCAATTGGGCAAGAACGCCCCAGGATACATCAGAAAATACCAACATGGTAACATATGGAGGGGAAACCCGGCGT